TGATTTAAGACATTTTAATACCAATTAAGTAATTTTATTTTGAAGAATTCAATGCCTTTTAAGACTTTTTAAGGACCCGCGGGAATCCTGTGTAAAAGTCCATGGATAAGCCGCGTTGTTATATAAAACGCAAGGTCGAAAAATGGGCAAAAAGTCGCGGCTTACAGTCCGAAAATTACGCTAATAATTTTTCAAATTTCCTTTTTTTTTTATTCTTTTAGAGCTTTTGCATATTTTTTTATTAAATTTTTGGGAACTTTGTCAGACCACCTGCTGAGACCAACTCTTGTCTGTGATTACAGGAGAAGAGCAGCAGCGTCCAGCAGTACCAAGCCCTAATGTCCAAGAAGCAGAGAGAGTACCAGCAGTCTCTGGAGCAGTGGAAACAGTCCCACCATAACCAGCTGGCTGAGCAACAGCAGAGGACAGACATGGTGCTCTAAACTCCCAGCGCAGCTTATTTTAGCAGCAAGGCCAGCTGGACTGACCGTTTTTCTCTGGCTCCTCTGCAGCTCCAGCGGACTCTGGAGGAGACCCGCACTCAGATGCTGGAGATGGAGAAGCAGCTGGGTTCTGTTGAAAAGGAGCGAGAGGAGGCGCAGAAAGCAGCTCGCCTGCTGCAGACCTCTGTAGATCAGCTCACACAGGTGAGGGGGGGGGACAGGGGGGCTGACAGGACAGAGGCGTTAATCAACTGATGAATTATTATTTCACATCATTTCAGGAGAAGCAGGCTGAGGTCAGACGCAACCAGGAGATGTTGGAGAGCTTCCAGGACCAGGCCTCCCAGTCTTCCACCAAGGTTTGGGAGACGTCCATAAACCCTCTTTAAACATTTATTTATTTAGACCTTCCTAAGAACATGGACGTTTTGAAAAAATATATATAGTTTGAAAAACCTGAGGCCCGGCCACTAATGGAATACAGGTCAATATTAGAGGATTTACGGTACATGTATTGATGACATTGTTGTTTTAACACATTACATAGAATTTCAAAATTTTACATCAAGACTAAATAACAAGTACACATCTATTTGGAAATTGTGCATGCATGATGGCATATAATTTATGCTGTCTGTGCATTAGCCTTTAAAAATGTTTGATGTTCTCTTTCGTCAATAAAAAATGCGATATATTTCAGCACATAACTTTTTCAAATAAGAAATACAACAAAAATGACATCATCATCTAGTTAATTAAGAATTACTACATTAACATTTCACAGTGAATGACTTTCTATCTCCTAATGTTAGACCCAATGTCAATGGCTAACTCAGCCAGACTAATGTTAGTCTACAGACTAAACTATAGGATCCATCAGCTATAGATGGATTTATTGGTTAGTTCATCCACTGACTGGGAAATTACCAGTGGAACGTCTTCCTGCAGACAGAAAACTGCTGGTTTCTGCAGCCGAATGCTGAACAGGGAGGCATTTTTACTGCGCATCTCTGGGGGAGTGGGGAGTACCAATATGGCGGTAGCTTCACTTTTTTCAGCAATCCAGTGAATAAATAGAGATCAGTAGGTTAGGCAGGTTAGCACCTTCCAGCTAAAAAGTCCAAGATCCTGTTTGATGAAAAAATGTTTGATTCCAAGAGAGATAAGAGTCGAAAAAGGTGCTG